CCATTCTGTAATACGGTGACCAGAATTGAACTGCATAATCCAAGTGAGGTTGTACGAGTGCGGGCTGCTACTACTTACTGCTGGGCCACCGAGGCCACCATTTGTAAGAGCGCGCACCACAAGCTGCCACCCTGTAAGGGCTTGGCACTCTTACTACTTACGTTGGTACTCTGACCTGGTAGCATGACATGAGAGGAAGGCCCATAGGTTCATGTAAATATAGTATCGAGTATTAGGGAGAGAACAACGGTGAATACTAAGGTGAATCATAGATCCACATACAAATACAATGTTTATTAAACACAAAAATGGTTACAGAAAAAACAATGTATTCACCCAAAACTGGAACTCCTGGTACCATGCCCTCAGGCTCAATTTACTTGCACCACTACCGGGTGTACCCACACCAAAACACACATAAACTCTTACAGCACCTTAGTGCCAATAAAACCAGTGGCACCTGCCAGTACAACACTCAATACCCCAGGGGCAATACTCCAGCGGCCGCCCTGGGAGTCTCATCACCAAGTGACACCTTCCAACAAACTCCGATAATTCCGGTGAACTAACACCACCACACCAACAGCCCCACCGAGTTATGTACTGTACTCATCCACCAATGATGGGGCTGGCAGTTGTTTGGGGGCTTGACGATCCGGGTTCACCGCAGGGACAGGGCGTTAGAGGTACTACCCCCTATGGGGCCCATGAGTGGTAGCGGAGCTTCTGACGGTCGGGGTTCAAGGGGACACCCGACTCCACTGGATCTCAGACATCTCCCAAGACTAGTGGATGCGTCATCCACGCTACAGACACGGCCTAGGCTGCATTAGGGACCTGTGGGTGGAGGAGCATGGCGCTGACTGACGGTGTATAACGAACCTCAACGTTTCAAAGGGACATTAACTAAGGACATAAAATACTTCACTCAAAGCACATCAACTACGTTACTTTAACACTTGTACAAACAAACTATAGTTAGGTCAAATCACTTAAAAATGGCGAATTACAACACGGAGAAGGTGGAGTGACCTACCTGTGGGTGGAGGAGCATGGCACTGACTGGTATGAAAAAAGCAACCGCCGCCTTCCACCCCCCCCTAAAGTCACAGATTCCACCTACTCAACCATTTCACTGAATTACGTTACTGTAACACTCTGACGTTTGAAACTGAGACTAGGAACTCAGTTTCATTCCCTACTATTATCTTTACAAACAATGCTCTGACTGAGCTTTCAAAAGCAAGAATTAAATTGATAACAAAAGGTTGGATGGGAACAGGTCCCAACACGCAACGCCTTGCTGCAACACCCGTGGAGCAGATTTTAAAGTTTCCTTTCCAGGAATATCAACTCATTCCTCAGTTAACCTCCCTTCCACAATTTCACAATGAATTATCAGTCTCTGCTAATCATAGGTGAAAAAAAAGGTTTACAGGTTCTTGGTAGCAGAAAGAATTTTCCAACTTCCATCAACAAACATACAACATCTCGATGACGTCAACAAAGAAACAGGGGGAACGGAGGACATTTCCACTGGGAGACTCAGAAGGTTTTGTGGACGTGTAAGCGTAATATGAATCATTAGTTTAACAGGTTAGCAGTCATTACGATCATGACAAGGTCTCACAAGCGCAAGATATAGTCTTAAAATGACCTCGCTAGTCTTGTAACTAACACTCCTTTGTATGAACCCAAGTACTTTATTAGCCTTGTTTCGAGCAAAAACACATTGTTTACTTGGCTTAAAATTCCTACTTATCATTACTCCTAAATCTCTCGCAGTCGGATTTCTCAATAATATCCTTGTTCATCTGGTATCTGGTTTCCCTGTTTACATCTCCTATACTGAGTACTTTACATTTGTCCACATTGAATTTCATCTGCCATTTTTCAGACCATTCGAAAAATTTGTTTAGATCTTCCTGTAGTTTTGCGGAGTCCTTGTCAGATTTAATTACAAGTCCTATTTTAGTGTCATCAGCAAATTTACTTATGTTGCTGTCTATGCCGATATCTATGTCATTTATGTATATAATAAATAATAATGGTCCAAGTACTGAGCCTTGGGGAACACCACTAGTGACATTGCTCCAATGGGATTTAGTGCCGTTAATGCTCACTCGCTGTTTCCTGTCCTGTAACCACGCCCTAATCCATTTTAGAATATCACCTTTAATGCCATGAGCCTCTACCTTTCTTATTAGTCTTTCGTGGGGGATTCTGTCGAAGGCTTTGCTAAAGTTGAGATATACCACATCATAATTGTGCCCCTTGTCCACTGATTCGAAAACTGATGAAAAGAATGTTAAAAGATTAGTTAGACATGAACGCTCGCTTGTGAAGCCATGTTGGGAATCATTGATCAACTTGTGCTTCTCCAGGTGATTTCGAATAGAGTTTGAAATGATTGCTTCCAGTAATTTGCCTACAATTGATGTTAGACTGATTGGACGGAAGCTAGTGGATAGTATCTATCTCCTTTCTTGAAAATCGGTATTACATTCGCTATCCTCCAGGATTCTGGTACTACACTGTTTTTAAGGACATGTTAAACAACTTTGCTAAGGGCATACTAAGCTCTTCCTTACATTCCTTCAATACTCTAGCAAATATCTCATCGGGACCAGGTGACTTATTAGGCTTTAGTTTGTCTATTTGCTTACTAACATCGTTACTAGTCACTACTATCCTGCTTAATTTGTTTTATTCTCTATCTCTGTATAGAGTCGGTGCCTCTGGTATCATGTTTAAATTTTCGGTGGTGAAACTGTTGAAAAATATTTATTCAGATATATTGTTCATTTCTCCGTCGTTATCAGTTAGCTAGCCGGTATCTGACTGTATTGGTCCAATCTTTTCTCGTGTTTTAGTTTGCTACATTTGATAGAATCCCTTGGGGTTTGACTTTGCCTCCCTTGCTATCCTCAGCTCATTATTCCTCTTTGCTTTTCTTATCTCGGTCTTAACCCTACCGGCCAATACCTTACAATAATCTCGGAGGTAAACTTCGCCACGATTTATCCACTTACAGTACCTATAGCCTTCCTTTGACCAATAATGTTCTTTAAATAATTATTTATCCATTTAGGGTCATTGTTGTTTGATCTGAGTTTTTTGTATGGTATGTTCTGCCTTTGTGCATTAAGTAACTCATTACTTAAATTGTCGTGGAACTCGGCAACCTCAGAACTCGTTATCAGGTCAGTCTCGACCGTCAAATCATGTGAGGTCATGTAGTTCACCCCCAAGCGTGATACCCCTTCTCTCAACTGCCTCTTCAAACTATCGAAGTTTGCCCTTCTGAAATCTGGAACTTTTGTGGAATTTTCCTTACGGCTGCCCTGAAAATCTAACTGGAATCTAATTTCTCTAATACAGTACTGCAAGATTTATTTTTGGTTGAATATTTTATCTATGTAATGTTCATGGACAATAATAGATCTCTTAGCAATATAAATTTCAAGGCAAAGTAGAAAGCAATAATGGAGAAATTCAGCCTTGAAATTTTTGAAAGGGTTAATAAAGGGTGTGGAGCAAGGGTTTACTGTACCTGTACAGGTGTGGGATTAGCATCTCCTGTGTGTGCTCTGTGTGAATATTCCCACTGAAGTTCATTAATTTATAAACCGCACTGGTCTTTACAAGTGGAAAATACACGCCCGTGTGAAGTGGTCCTTACTGCAAAATATGAGAGTTGCAGGAAGCCCACAAGGTTTGAAATATTACTGTAGGGTACCGTAAATTTATTTGTGAATAGGTGGGGTGTGCTTTGAGAATATCGAATAGGGGGTGTCAAAATGTCAATTACTGATAAGCGGCGGCTACAAATAGTGAGGTGTTCCTTTACCTGTATTTGAATTTACATAAAATAACAAATAATTTCATAGTTCTGTACTGTACAATAAAACATAGTACAATACAGTACAGCTACTCCCCGACTTACGACCTACTCGACTTACGTCCACCCGCACTTACGACCTGCCTCAGTCATACCAAAATTTGGTCAAATTACGTATTTTTGAGTCCCAAAGTCAGTACACAGACAAAATTTTCATCTGTAATTCACTTTAAAATGGCTGGCAAGCTTAAAAGTGAGTGTTTTGTGGTGTTATTTAAGCATTTCCGACTTACGACCTGGATGTCGGTCCCTAACCCCGTCGTAAGTCGGGGAGCAGCTGTACTGAAGCTTATTCAAACCTTATAACTATTTGGGATAGTCAGCTACCCTGTATTTCTTAGAATTTTCATGTGATTTAAATCACTGTAGAAAAAAGATGGTTAACAGAACAGGATGCACACTAAAGTTATTAACAATTATGATAATTACAAGAGACACAATCAAAGTACGACAAGTACAGTAAATGAAAAACGGAGAAAAATGCATTTAAGTTTGTGAACCATCACTTACCATAACTATGGAACCAGTGAAGATATTGAAGTAATTCAAGTGGCAGATTTGTTGTATTGTTAATACAGATTTGGTTGATACATGTACTAAAGAAGGACATCATACATATTGTTCTTGGGCATACCACCACTTGTCCTACTTTGGTTCTGTGCTCCTCATATATTCTCTATGAGTTCCATGACTCAGTTGACACCATTCTGGATAAGAGTTCATGAGGTTTCATTCATATGGCTACACAAGGTTGGTGGGGTGTTATTTCCCTGTGACATGCACTGAGCTGGCTATCAACCACATCAATGTCTTGGGCCAAGCTAACCCTTTTTTGAGAAATGGCATAAAATAAATCTAGTTTATTTTTTCTAAAATAATCTTAATTTGTCCTTATGGATGACATCTGAAATGAGGAAACGTTTGAGAGGATGACGTCCCTGACGTTCCGCACCATCTCCTCCGGGGTCCATTGTGGACTGTATTTCTGGTCCGAGTACTCCTTGGAATATGGTTCTCGGGGACTGTTGTGATACAGTGACTGGAGGACGATCTTCGGTGCCTGCTGCTGTTGTGGAAGACAATAATCTATCTACAGTCCTGTACTGCCATAAAGTAAGTAAGGAAGCAGAGGGAAAAGTGAAAGTGAGAGAGAAGACAGTGAAAAGTATGAGATGGATAAAAGGAAAGAGAAAAAGTAGGGATAAATGTCAACAAGGATTGAAAGGATGTTCAAGAAAAATATAGTAAAACAGTTAATTACATGAGGATCACTGACAAGGTTCTATCCTAATCACATGATAACTAGTTTAAAGGAAAATTTGGGTAAAACTATCCTACCTGAAAAACCTTCCCCAGGGTTGTTACAGTAAATTATAATAGAGTACATAGTTAAGGACACTGGATTAATTAAAGCCACTAAAAATACACTAATGTACACATAGTAAATAATATTTTAGAAAAAAATTCCATAGTAATACACAGTAAATATTTTAGACCTCAAGTAACGTGTCAGGTTCGTAGAAGAATCAGCGGAGTTGGGAGTACCGCTCGCCATCTATGAGCGGCCATCTTGACAGGTTGGGTAGTCATCTTCCAAACATCCTGTATGGCCGCTGTGAAGAGGTTCCACAGTCGTGAAACACTGGACATGAAGGTCATCTGATGCTGACTGGCTCATGATCTCGGCACCTCCACCAGCTGGACGCTCAACAGCATCGTTCTTGCGCTCCTCTGCGCAGCTCGTAGGGCCAGCCTGAAATCCGCCAGGTGAGGCACCTCTTGGACGTGGGCCTTGTGGAACAGTCAGGGCCGCCACATCTCCCCGGTGCTCCAGAGAGTCCACGGTGGTGATGATGTCATGGGAAGGGTGTGAGGCAGAATCCATGAGTCGCAAGGCTAGCCTCTGTATTTTGTCCAGTTTTCCAATGTGGGAAGGAGCGCTGCACATCCACAACAGGGATAAGTTCTCTAAATAAGGCCTTATCTGAGCCTTATACAGCATCAGGATTTCACTGTGGTCAAGGAATCTAGTCAACCTTCTCAGGGCAGATACCCTGAGTGAGGCCTTGCGTGCAGTTATTGAGGTGTTTGTCGAACCTCAAATGTTTGTCAAAAACCACTTCATGGATTGTCATGTAATCCAGAAGTGGCAGAGGCACCTCCCCAAAGAGAATTCTATCCTTCACAGCGTGGGAGGCCACCGGGGAGCAGAATATCACCATCGCTTGTGTTTACTGAGGATCAAAATTTACCTGACAGCGTGTACCCCATCCACGGATCAGCTCCAGTTGCTGGTTCAGTCTCTGGACTGCTCGCTGGCTATCCTGGCGGGAATAAGAGCACGATAGGGTGCAATCATCAGAGTAGGCTGATACCACTGGCATATGTTGTAGGAGGTCATCAATATAGACGTTTCATAAAATCGACCCCAAAACAGATACCTGAGGGACCGACGCCTCTATTGGAAATCTCAGGAGATCTGACTGTTGACGACAACTCTGAGGATCCTCCCTCGCAGGTAGTCTGCTAAAAGCAGGAGGAGGTTCCCCTCGGTTCATTTCGATTGAAACTTTTCCAGGAGGCCCCTGTGCCACACCCAGTCGAAGGCCCCGCTATGTCAAGGGCAATCATGAGGGTGTCCAGATCATTGTCCAATACATCCTGCCAGTCTCTAGAGAAGAGCAGCAGCAGGTCTGAGGTGGATCAATATGATCTGAAACCAAACTGCCAGCTAGACAACAGATTGTGGTGGTCAAAGTGGCAATACACTTCCTCCATGACTAGCTTCTCAAATAACTTACTGACCACAGATAACAGTGATATGGAACGGTAGTTTCCTGGGTCCGACTTTGACTGCTTTTTATGGACAGTTACGACCTGCTTCCACATGATAGGCCACATGTTTTCCACCTTGCAGGTGTTGCAAACAGTCAAAAGAGGACCAGTTAGCTCATTGGCACAATGTCAGAAGACATATGGGCTGATGTTGTCAGGGCCAACTGTTTTTTTTAACATTAAATTTTCAAAGTAGATGTTTGACTCTTGAGTTACTGCCACTGTGGTCGGCTGTTCCTCACACTCTAGTTGTAGAAGTTCTATTGGGTTCTGGGACAGTCATTTTAGGGCTGAAGAGCTCTCCCAGCAGCTCCGCCTTGTCCCTGCTGCTGGTAACTAAAGTTCTTTCCAGTTTGGTAAGAGGAGAAATTGACTCTTGTTGGCCAATCCTCTGGTTCTCCTTCACCAGCACCAACCACATTTTGGAGTCCACCCCCACACCAGTTGGCTTGCGGTGCATATCGGCCTCCCATCTCGTTATGGCCCACTTACTGGTGGCAACCATGTGCTTGCAGGTCATTCGGTGCGCGTATTTGTTGTGTCGGGTCGGGTTCCCTTTGTACCTCACCCACGCCATATACTTGGCCTCTGCAGCAAACTAGGGACAGTCCATGGGTTTGGTGATGGACTGGCGATGTGGTACGTAAAGCTGCTGTATATCCAAGAGTCAAGTAGTGAGGGTCTTAGCCTTGTGATCTACACCATCAAGAAGAAGACTGTCTCAGTCCGTGTAGTGCAGATCATGGAGGGCCAGTTAGCACAGTCCGAGAGCCAAATGGTACGAGTGGAGGCCTCATCACTCGCCACACCCAACATCATCTGGGACAGGATCACGTAGTGGTCTGAACTACATACTGGTCCCAGTTGGTAGCATCAGATGGACTCATCCTGAAGGTCAGAGAAGACAGCGCCAGCATCCCCATGTGTATGTAGGTAGGAAAATCTCTGTGATCCACCAGACACTGAACTGTCAGGAGGTTATCATAGGAGTCTTGGACGAGATAATAATTGAAGTCCCAGCGATCATGATGTGTTGACAGTTGTGTCGTGTAAGGAGGTCATCCAGGTGCTCTGTCAGAAAGTCGAGGGATGCGCATCCTTGCCAATGGGGGCAGTAAAGACCACCGAGCATGAAAGCAGCACCACCGGCAAGGACAATGCGAAAGAAAGGTGCTTCCATCCACGCTGGGATGTTAGCTTCCAGGACCTACACCTGAAGTGCTTCCTTGAAACAGACAACCACACCTCCACCTGCCTTTCCTTGACAATTTTTCCTGACCCACTGGCTGTAGTACACCATTTATTTTCCAAATGTGGACTCCATGCTGCTGTTCAGTATTGTCTTTAACTACAATGATGTTCGCATTGCTCTTTACGGCAAAACTGTGCCAATGTTGATCCAGAGGCCCCTCACACTGACCAAGAGGAGCACTAAACGGTTCCGGCGGGGGTGACCAGGGGGGTGGTGAGGTGGGTGAATTGTCCTGGGTAGAGCCATTCTGGGGGCAAGGGGGGTCACAGCCGATTGTGAGCTTGGAAAGTGGTTTGGGATGGAATCAGGCCCAGAGGCCGGGTCAGGATCAGTGATGCCCAATACGGAGACGTCTATCCAGGAGAACATCCCCAGTCAGGAAACTGTGGGTGGATCAGGCCAGGTTATGAGCCTGTTGAGCTTATAAGGTTAGCTTCAAGGAGCTGTGTTCTCTAATGGACTTTCCTGCAGCAGGTCTCTCTCTTCTCTCTATCTCTCTCTCTCCACATATAAGCAGCATGGAGTGTGTACATAGTCCATGTTATATTATGCACCTGGAGTTTGGAATAAAGATTATGGAGCTGCTTTGTAAAATATCTTTCTCCTGCTTCTCTTCACCTTCCATCTTTTTTGTTCACACTTTCTCTAACTTCTTTTCTTCCACTTTTGTCTTCCATTCTCTCCTACTCCTGACCCACCATCCCTCCTACACCGGTCTCTCCCTCAACTCCACCTCTCCCTCCCTCCTATATCAGTCCCTCACTCTCCCAACCATCCCTCCTCTGCCCTGAAATATGATCAGATACAGTGGAGTCTTGATAATTCCCTCGTTAGGTACCAGAGGCCAAAAAATACCCATAAACTGTTCCAAAACTACTTTACCAAACACTAAACATTGTACATAACACATCGAAAAGATATAGTAACAAATAGATATTGTACAACTAATTCGATATTACTTAAACATCTGTTTCCCTTCTCATACTCATCCTGTGGATTACACCAACACATCATCAAAACACGCAGGAGCCAGGCTGGCTGTGACCGCGCTATGTAAACAATGAACCAGCAATTTAATACCCCACAGCAACTCAATTTGGGTTAAGTGTAGGATTTTTGTTCTCAAGAAAATTTATTACTTTAGATAATGTCTTATTAAAGCGGTTCCTACAGTAAACAATATGAGAATTATGGTGAAATTGTATAATGATGTATTATTGAGGTTGGAGGAGGAGAGCATTGAAATGATATTTCCACAACTTTTATGGCTTCTTGTGTAAATAAACAATGCGGCAGCCAACACTTAGCCATGAATTACGAATATTTGACTAGGAAATTTCAAAAAGAGGTGCTGTATCTATGAATTTAAGAATGTGAATTTGTATTTCACAAATTATCATAACTCCATTGTATCCCTGTTAGCCAGAGTAATTGGTGCAGAGCTCTTCCAGGGATGAGAGATTTCCAGGTAATGAGACAACTGTCTGAAACCCACAAAAATCCCACATCACCTGATTTTTCCGGGTCCTGGTAAAATTTCTTGGAATTTTCCGGAAATTACGGTAAGCATTATTTCATCCTCTGAATTTGCTCCCAGACCCGGTAAAAAAAAAAAAAATTGGAGTTTCCATAATTTTTTCGGAATTTTCTAGAAAAATTCTCCTGATTTTCAGCCTCTAAAGCTCGTTCACAGACCCAGAATTGAAAGACTTTTTCCAGAAAATTTCCAAGCCAATTTCAATTCCGGGTACTGCACATTTTTGGAGAGTTCCGGCTAATGGAGTTATTACTGTAGAGTATTGTGAAGGTATTCTATCAAAAAACTCGAAGAAAGGAGAGAAAGTGGTGCAAAACAAGTAAAGAAAGGAGAGAAAGTGGTGCAAAACAAGTAAAGAAAGTGAGAGGTTAGGGTTACTACAATTATAGTAAAGGTCTGATTATCCAACTTGCATGGGACCTTCGATGGATCAGATAATTTGACTTTTACTGTGGCAGAAACACATTTGCTCAAATTCTTAATCTACACATTTGGTATACAAACTTTACTGAGGTTACTCCAACTCCCTTTACATAACAGATTCTCTCCAATTCCCTGGTCAGTAATTGGCAAAATGTGGGAGTTTGTATGTCAATTTCATTCAAAATCCATCCTGTATAAGGTTGTCTTAAAATGTGGTACCGGTTGGACCTCGCTTATCCAGGAAGCTTGGGACCAGACCGGTTCCGGATTAAGGAAAATTCTGAACCATCGAAGCCGAGGTTAAATAAAGGCAAAATAATGCATAAAATGTACTGTTACTGGTACCAATACAACTTATATCAACATAAATCTAGCCCAGGCTTACTGGACCTCCTTATGACAATGTTAGTACTATGGCACAGGTTTACTGTACTGTGACACAGAAATAAGTAGATTAGCAGAAAAAGCAAAGAGAAAATTGTATATTATTGAATTATTGATACCTGAACCTGTAAAACATTATGTGATAAAGTAAAGCATATGAACAAAAACTAACGACAGCCAGATTCAAACACCGTGCCGAACGATCGAAGCTGCCAGACTATCGGATCCTGCATTAGAGGGGTCCAGCCTGTACCTGTAATTCACACTTTTCAACAAAATTTAATCAGAAAAAAGTAAATAAAAACCTTGAAAGAAAAAGTATTTAACAAAGAAAGGGTAAAATGACCCAGATCACCTTCAATATTATAATATATAAGAGAAAGTTTGTGGATAATTTCCTCTCCCGCAGCATCATCATCAATCAGCTGATGTAAGTGTAGGTGGGTCAGTGAGTATGGACGGACATGCCAGGCCATCCTATGTAGATTAACTTTTATTATCTCTGTGTGTACTGTATTACTGTAGCAGTGCGTATATTTTTGTTTCATTCGTGTATATACAGGTACTTGTATTTGTTGGAACATATGAATTATTGGTCAAAGGTTAACCCAGTGTAGTTGCCAGCTGCCACTTAAAATGTTCAGTTTATGTTGAGACTTTAATACTAACATTTCTGAAATTAAACTTGTTTTTTGTTTTTCAGTGTTAATTTCCAACAAGTTTATCACATCAAACCATTTGTTCCTAACCCCTGTGACCCAATTATACAAAATAGATATCTGAATGGCATAGTGATGTTCGGAGCTTGGAGCCCTCTGCTGTTACTTGATTAAGCTGTCACTGGAAATTTTTTGTCCCCTACCAAATGGCCTTGATTTACCCAATCATGAGGTGGAAACTGGACACTTATACTCCAAGCAATTTGTACTGTATTTGCAGTGCTCTAACATGTACATAATAAGTACAGTACTGTACTGGAACTTATGGGTGCAATGCACCTGTTTTGGACTTCTCCTTTTCTGAGTGAGAATTGTGAACTCTTGGAACAATCTGCCAGAGAGCGTTGTGACGGCACTGAGTGTGAGCTCTTTCAAGACCAGACTTGACAAACACCGGAGCAGGTTCAGATACATTCAGGAGCCAGTACATGCTCAGCACTTGCCATCAGTGTGTATCAAAGATGTGACTGATCACCCAAGTGGCTAATGAGCCAATCAGTGAAGAGGGTAAAAGTAAAAAAGTAAAAGTAGTCTAACATCACACATATTCCCTGCACCATCTTTCAGCTAGGTTCCTCCCTCCCCAACACACAAATACTTCACCTCACCTGTAACCCTATACTGTTTGTACAGTACTGTACTGTATATGCACCAGCCCCTACGATGCTGTGTACAAATATCAAGTTGTATATTTACTGTACAGGTATTTCATTTCTAATCTTGTACTTATCATTAATATGGGCTCTTAGGGTCACTGGTTCCTTTTATGTATTTAAGAATTTGTGATTTGCGATCTTTGGGTCCCAACGCAAACACATGGTATTGATACTTTGGTGTAACAAATTTTATGTCCCTATATTTAATGTAACATATTTTATGTAACAAATTACTCTTATATTGTCTATTTAATTCTTTTTTATTTATTTATTTACTCTTTTATTCTTTCTTTTACTCTTTCTTTATTATCCAATTCTCTTTTCTTCTGTGTTCGTTATACAGGTACTCGTATACTTCTGAGATGAGGAAGGTTTATGTTTGTGGTGAGTCTGAGGGGCAGGAATGTAGGCCTACAGTGGCCCCTAACACACCAGCAAGGGGAGATTGAGGGAGGCTGGTCAGGGGAACTAAGATACAACACTTAAGAGGAGAAAATATGAAATACTTATTATTTAGGACTAACTGTATTACTGTATGACACCAAACACATGCATGACAATGTTTTAGTCAACACAAGGGAATTGAGAACTAATCATAATGATTCTTCATTTATTAACGACGTTACTCAAAATGAACAGTTACACTTTCGAAACAATAACCTATCTTCCGAGCTAGCTACCTAGGGGTTATATGAATCACAATACATTTCGTGAAACGGATAAACCTAATAGGTACTCACATTATAGCCGCCATATAAGGAGGTGACACCCAGGACACAACCACACTTAACTCTGACCAAACACAGACTCCGCTTTTCAAACTGCGTCAGCCCACAAGGGACGCCACAACTTTCATGACGTCACGCCTCATAGGCTTTCTCATTGGTTGAAGACAGGCCTAAGGCCTTCATACTATAGGCCTAAGACCTTCATACTATTGGCTTGAAATTGGCGGGAACTCTCAGGTGGCGGGAAACTCATGACATTGTTACATTGGGTTCAAGGATCCAAGACCCACTGCACCCATGTTATATATCACCAACATTCAGGAAGTTCATACATTCACTAAATGTTTAGTCCTAAAAGTATGTGAATTACTAACTAACTAATTCAAGCCACCCCTTTCCATTAAATTTAAATTTCCGCTAAATCGAATTACAGTTACTTTTGTTCGATTTACCAAACTACAGTATTTCATTAAATTGAGCGTGATTTCGTTAAATTCTGCACCAAAAGCGCCACACTTCGCTCGGCGCGTCGGCTTTCTTTACATTTGCTCAGTCTGTGTCCTGCTGCCACTGCGTGTGTTGTTCACTGCTACTCCTCGGTCAACTAACTACACTGGAGCAGGTCAGGTCAATAACATGGGATTCATTAATCCACCTCCACCGCAAACGAAAGAAGAGCTAATAAAAAAAATGGGTGACATAACAACAGGTCAGGTCAAAAACAAGAGACACATTAACCATCTGCCCTACATCCACCTCAAATGCTTTCAAAGCATTTTAAACCTTAGGCCAGTTATTATTCATTAATTAATACCCTAACACCACAACATCACACGCAAAACATCTAGAGTTTAAAGTCTTTTGTGTGTGAGACACTGTGAGTTGGAGGTAGGGGAGAGGAGGCAGGGGCCAGGGAAGGAGGGAGGGAGCAGGGAGAGTTCATTATACACACTTAGAGCATTTAAAAAGAAAAAAAAAATACAATACTGTACATACCTGAGGAAAGAGTTGACCAAGAGTAATGAAGGTGAGAAAGTGAAAGTCCTTCACTTCGAACATGAGCACAACCTTGCTAAAGCGCTCAGCATCATACTCCATCACAGCACAACCAAACTGACATAACACCTGCAATGTTATAAATAAACTACAGTACTTTATTGGCTGAAACGAACACTAAAATCCTTTAACCCCAATGTGTCAATCCAAAATTCTTAGCTACTGCAAATTACAATAAAAATTTCCCAAAGATCAATGGCCAACAATGATGTTACTGCAAGACAGACAGACACTGAGACGATGGCTGTATCCTATCAACTACAATAATTCAGCAGTTCCAAAAGGCCTACCTAGTTGGGTGAGTATACATTTTCTAGATTCTAGAGAGTTTGAGCCATGTACACACAGCTCTCTAGGTATGTAAGGATTGTTCCTAAATCTATGGACCTCACCTCTAGTGACAATACAGTAAAACCTCTATACATTTAAAGTCCAAAAATCCGGATGCCAGAAATCCGGACCACCCGAGAATCCGGACTTTTCAAAAACTCACTATTTTTTTTTTAAATTTAGCTGGCTTTTGTGTGTATGTGCGCATGCGTGAGTGCCACAGCTGCACAGCGACAACAAGTGACCATGCGGTCGCCACTTTAAAACGAGCAATCAAAATGTGACAACGTATTTTGAGTCCTACTCTTTCCAGTTACAGAGTACTGTACAAGCCCATAATAATGGCTCCAAAAGTAGATAAACTTCGTTGTGTGAAGAGAGAGAAGAACACGTTGAAATTGAGTGACAAACTTGAAATAATTAAGAAACTAGAATGAGGTGTGAGCAATACTGTTCTAATGGAAACATACGACATTGGAAAGTCTACAATTTATGATATAAAAAAGGCAAAGAATAAAATTCTAGAATTCACAGCTTCTTCTTTAAAACTGCTCGTTTTGATAAATGAAACATGCTATATTTGCTAATGAATAAATTATCAAAATGTACCTGTTCATCTCTTCTTTATTCCTCCTTAAATTTGAATTTTAAAAGTACAATACTGCCTGAGAATCCGGAAAATCCGAAAATCCGGACCGACCCAATCCCCAAGCAGTCCGGATTTTTGGACTTCTACTGTACACTGCACTTCAATACCAGGAATTTGCTTTTATTTCAGTGTGTATGTTTGTACGTGCATTTGAATGTCTGCGTGGGTGTCGTGTGGCATGTGTCTCAACCTGAGTCCTGTCTTCATACATATTCTATTAGTGTGCCAGTGCGCACCTTGCTACCTATACTCATTTATGTGAAATTTTTTTATAGAGTACGTATTATCTTCAACGGGGATACTTGAGGGTTTTAAGAAATGGATAAAATAAAAAAATATAAAATTCTTATGAAAAGAACAACACTTGCTCAATGACTACAATACAGTGGTCTAATCAGATACAGTAAGCTATAAGCCTAATGAGAGCTAAGACACTGCATATGTAAACAGGCTGGGGGTGGAGGAGGGACTGGGCTTTGTCGCATTCACCAGGTTTATTTATTGGTTCAGTATTATAGTCTCGTATGATCAGCCTCTTATGGTGTGTGATTCATAAAAATTAATATAACATCTTCAATAATAAAAATATTGATATATAATTTGTGTTTTAACTTCAAAATATAAGGAAAGTTGCATCTGAAAATATTCACTCAGGATGCATTCCTGGAAAGAGAACTTTCAGTAAATCAGCTTACAACAGGGTCATTATAACACTGAATAGTATTTCATATGGCAATACCTTCCTAACAACATTATTTATTACCTTTGAGTGATACATTATGGCTTGCTTTGGCTACTTGTACACTTAGACAACTGATTAATGAACCATGGAATATGCAGATGCATAGTACACGACAATATTATTTACTAAAAGCTTTTAAATACACTACAGTACTATTTATTAAGAGCTGAAGACCGATGTTGTGGTAAGCATGAGAGATGGAGATCACTGTTAACATGGTGAAGGAGGGTGATTCAGGGGTGAATACAATCAACTATTTGCATTTTGTAAACAAACGACAGGAAATTTAATACAATGCAATGACTCATCTGGGACTGAGTGTGGGATTCTTTTTTAGGGAAAGATGATTATTTTACGATAATATTTTATCAATCCGGCACCAAATGAACCTAAATAATATGGGAATTTTGGTGAAATTGCATAAAGATGTGTTAAAGGGATCCTGGGGGAGGGAGGAAGGAGCCACCCACCCACATTACTTCCTGCCTGCTGCTCCCAGATACACTCTCACCTCTTACACACACAATATACCCCTGCATTCTTATTTTGTCTTATTTATCTTTATACAACTATACAGTGTGCATTTTTCTCTTTATTCATAGGGCAAATTCTGTGGTTACCAGTATAACACTTAACAGTATGAAACAGTCATATCAGTGAAAACAGTTGTTGAAAACCAAACTTAGTCTGATTTTCAACTCAGAGAATTCTATCTCTCATCATTCTTTATTGTTAATGTAAGAGTGCTTTTACTAACCTTGTAATCCATTAGGCTTTAAGACCTTAGTTGTTGAAGAGCAGTACAGTACTGTAATAACATTATAACACCAACAACTGATTTTTTAAACAGCCCAGATAATTGCAGTGTTACATCCAGAGACCCCCCCCCTCCCCCCTTCCCCAAATAGAATCGCTTTTTCCAGACTGGAGTCTGCCCCAATTAGTCAAGTGTACAGTATAGAGGTTTTACTGTAAGTGTCTCAGAGATATATACCAAACACCATTGAAAATAATTATTTCTGAACATTACTGTTGCTAAATTTTACTATGCATGTAGCTACTGTACAATATAGTACAGTACAGGTACTGTACTGCATTATACAACATCAATATTTAAAAAACTAAATGACTTAATCTTACCTGGGCAATGAACTGTTTTCTAGTTTCAAAACAGAGTACAGCTTTTCGTACTTTCTCCTCCAGCAGCTCCAAAACTCTCTCAACATAATCCAGCAAGCAAGTACCAGGAGGCACTGCCGGAAGTGCTAAAGTGTTGGCACCTCCGATGAGTGACTCAACTCTTGGAGACAAGTACAACTTGGGGACGAACACTCCCTCATTCTGTAAGAGATTGGTTACCATTGAGAGTACAATATAACATTATTCCAAAAATGAAAATATCAGTTCATGACAATACATCCTTAAGTCATAAAACACAATGGAATTTTCCTCTATTCTTCTCACAACTGTCGTGGCAGCAGAGCACAACTGTAGAAGTGTACAAGAATAAATGTTAAAAGTTTCTTCTTCCAGTTTATTTATTGGCAGCATATATACAGCCTCATGGAAGCCTGCCCTGCCCCACAAAGAAAAATGTTCTACCCAGCTTTCTTGTGTATGCTGCAGTTTAGTTATACTGTTACTGTATTGAAACCACAGTCTCACAATAGGGATCAGCAATGAATTCTAAACTGCAAAACCAACATTTAAATACATTTAGTCTGCATATTTCTACTGCTTCAATTTTTCTTCAGCTTTTGCATGGAGCAATTTCAATTTACAGTAAAATTAAAGCACAAAGTATTATAATTCTGGGATAAACTGAAGAATAGAGAAAATATTTAAATAGTAAAAGAATATAAAAGAAGTAAGTTTTGATTTTTTTAAATTTTCAAAATTATTTTTTCTTAAATACTACAACCTGTGGTGTTTGGAAGTGAGGGTCACACTGGATAACATCCTTCTCACGTGTGTCCGGGCCAAGGCTCGAACCCTTGACATATTGGTGAGAGTTATGCGTGTTACCGCTGAACCACCAACAATAAATTACTTATGCAACTTACCAAAAGAACAAATCAATATTCTATTGGAAATGCCATAAACTATGTACAGTATGACACAAACAGCCAGTAAGTGGGTGAGATTTGTAAAGACTCAACCTGTGTCGTCAACTAGCAAGAGGGTGAGGCTTGTTCAACTGGCCATAATGCATAAGGATTAATAATGACAGGCATAATATATCCAACAAAGCATTGCTCCTCTTTGACAATGGACCAAGCCACTCGTGAACCTGAATGATCTTTCTGATCATTTGAGAGTGGAGTATATCCCCAAGCACACAACTGCCTTGCTCCAGCCAATGGATCAAGGAGTGATTTCAAACTTCCAGGCATATTATCCAAGAAGAACTTTTAAATAACCCATAAAAGAAATTGATGGGGAGGATAAACCTACAGTTAGGGACTTCTGGAAAACGTTCAACATCATGGATGCCGTGGAGAACATAGCCGAATAGTGGGATGAAGTGAGATCATCAGCTATGAATGGTGTTTGGAAAAACATTTGGCCAGAGTGTACCCATGACTTTCAAGGTTTTTCACAAGCAGGAAGTATACATCAAGTACAACAAGACATTGTGACACTTGCAAAAGATGTAAGCTTTCCAGAAGTCATAGAAGATGATGTGGTTGAGTTGCTACAGTCCCATAGAGAAGATCTATCTAATGAGGATGTGATGCTGTTGGAACAAGATTGAGCTCCACCCACCCCACTTCAGTTGAATACAAAGCAAATATATAAAGGGTCTACACTTATAGAGAAAGGTTTGCAAATCTTTGCTGCTAACGATCCCAATCATGAACATAACCAAAAAATTGCAAGAGCAGTTCATAATAACCTCAGCTGCTACAGTGAGCTGTACAAACAACCTAAGATATGTTTTTTGCCGCCCGAGCAGAGTCCGAAGCAGATGATAATGATGATTTACAGGGCAGTCCAGAATACAGTACAGTAGTTGCCCTCTTTCTCCCATTGCACCACTTCACCTCATGCAGCACTTAACATCATTTGTGGTGAGTTAAATTCAAGTGTTTTGTGTACAGTATTGTTTTTATTTACTCTTCACATTTAATGGTACAGTACTGGATATATTATTTTATGTCCAAAGAATAGCTCCTTCCACACTCAAACCATCCTCTGGGAGATGTGACACAGTTCAGCCACACAGTTAGCCAGTCACCCAACTGACTCACATTGGGGGAAGGAAGGGTGGTTCAGTGGGTCAGACACATATAAGCGGGATGAAGTACTATGGATACACATACTCTGAGACCCCACTCTATATATTATCATAAAATAATCTATGTATGTGTATAAAAAAAAATATTTTCATTCATAAAAGAGCTTTTATTACTTCTTTTTGCCGAAATTTTTTTTCCTTAGGATCGCATCTCCAATCATATAGTGATAGTCAATGGGAAAATGTGGCTCATGTTACAGTCAACTTTTCAAGGATGTATCCCTTCCATAACCTGGGGGATTACTATAGTAACAAGTACAAAAGTGAGAACAGGTACAGTAGTATGGTGGGTACAGTTGGTAGGTAATATACAGTATAGGCGGTACAGATATTTAATAGCAATGTACTCATATGGGAAGAATGGAAACAAATGCAATGGAAGATTGAATATAGAAATGACAGATGGATGCCAGCTAAGGTAATTACATATATGTATCAAAAAAAGGCATGAAAACTGGGTGTATGGAGGAGATTCTTCATAAGGAAGATACAGCCTAACTTTTAGGAGGATCACAAAAAGACATGAATGTATGCTATGTGGTATGCTATTTCTTATTAACCTTTAAACTGTAATGTGTGTCATATGATGATACACACTAGACTGTGATTGATATTCATCATGTGACAAGAACATTTTTGCACCACAGTTCTTAAATTGTGAGCAAAATTTAGCATCCATAAAATGGGTCATAGTCCTGTAGACCGCCTCATACTACCAACATCTCAGTTTGGTTCTCAGTTGCCTTTGAGTCATCATGGGGGACAAATACTTGTTGCTGTTAGTGGTAATCAGACCCCCCCCCCCCTTCCCCTCCACCCCCAGTTCTTCTCCATTGGTGGATTGGTCCCCATACTCACTTAAACACTTCATCACACTAAAACAAAAAATATAAAAGATGAATTTTTTTCATCCTTCACACTACTGCTGCATATCTTTAATTTTGTAAGGACATAATGTTTCTAAAAGTTTGTTTTCTCATAGTCACAGTTAAGAGATCATGCTAACATCCTGGTGACACAGAAACAAGTCTAAAGTCTTTACAGAAGAATCACCAATCATAATAAAAATTCAAACTGAGCAATTCACTGAAAACATTGACCGACTATAAAAATAACTCAAAATTAAAATGCAGGTAAATCTCACACCTTCATATGCTATGGTACAATCAATCACATAATTATACATACACCTTGAAAAGTTACTTGAAGAAGACTGGTTGCTGAGCCAGGGTTAGCATCAATCAACACAGGGGGAACATCTTGAAGACTCAGTGGTAACCGCACCAGCAGTGAAGATGTGTTATGCCCTGGACTATTCACTAATATCTGTAGTAAATAATGTTTCCACATTAGAGCACTAAGATGTATATAAAACACACATTAATGTGGACCATTACAGTCTCCAAGTTTGTTACAAATGTTAAACAAATCAAGCTATCTTATGAAACACCTCAGCTAGAGTACAATCCTCAATACATTAGATAAATCAGGTATATTAAATTATGGACTAATCTTAGAGATCCAAGTTTATAACCAAGTTTGGTTTAAATGACTCATGTACTATCCCACCAAGGGCAAAAAGTAGAAGCCCCAGGAAGTCCCTAAACAATGGAGGCTGCAACTTATATGTTGATCAGTTATACGGTACTTTCCTATTGCAACCACAGCCCTTAAAAAGAGATTTTGGAAGCAGAAGTTGTTTGACCTACCCTAACCTTTTCCTGAGCAAGAGTAGCAGTATTAAGTTACCAGGATAGAATGAGAAGTAAACACTGATTGTGTAATAGAGCCACAGTTCTGCTTAATGAAGTAAAATCTGAGGAAATTCTGATTTTATGGAACACTAAACCACAAAATATATCAAAATGGAATTAACATTTCTTGTATGGGAGGTTGTAAACTAATGTGGGAATAATCTTAATACTGTAGTGAAAGTTTTATCTTAAGGTATCCACTTAGAGTGATACCTCAGTAGAAGCCATAAATTACACAAGGTGCAAAACATTGAATTTACCATTTACCTTTATTCATGCTCACACTATGAAATACAAAAGTATAAAGGGCAAAACCTCTCCTGGTGAAGAGAAAACCCTGCTGGCACATACAATTTTCTCAAAATCCCATCTACTTCCTCATTATCCACTCTTACATTTATATATCCCACCTGCATCACTCCTTCATTCACAATGAATCTACTTTCATGTTTTCCTGAAATATATCTCGTAATTTTCATTACTTTGGGCGTTTATACACTCGATAACTGATTGCCCAAACTTTAGTGTGATCCATAATAGTCTGGGAATGACCATCCCATCACTCAACATTACAACTTGCACCTGTCCCTTGTGGATCCCTCCTCTATTCTTCAACTTTGTTTCAATTATAACCAAGATATCCATTTTTTTTATCCAATACCTCTTCAATTATTCTTTTCTTCACCCTCATGACAACTACATACAATCATGCATGAATGAGAGACTTTTGTTTTTCTTATGAAAAAGGAGTACCTGAACAGTACTGTACAGAAAATGAGATTACCAGCCCTAAGCCCATTTGCATGATAATAAAATCTAATGTTATTTATGCGCCCTCTAAATGACACACCAACTCTCAGTACCAATAATGTGGTCCATCTTAGCTCCACCTTGAACAACATTCCAACCTACCTCTATATCACCTTCCCCAATCTTAAGAGTCTTCAGAAGGGACCGGTACTCAAACTGCAGAACTTCATCATCATCAAGTTTCTCCAACTAGAAATTAATTAACCAAATTAACCATTTGGGAATAAAGTAAGTGATCAGGTGGATAAAAATTCCTAGTTATCAGTGATATAAAACCATTAAACAAAGAAAATAGCCACAATTAGGGACACGTTTTTCAAATTACTGATCAAAATGTGGTAGACTAAGTGATCATGCTAACAGGAAATATAAGTAGCACATAAAACAAAATGAACATTTAAACAGATTGTAATTCAGTAATAAACTAAAAAGGTGACCAACACTGTAACGGAGTAAGAACCAAATAATTGTGCTGCCATTTTATAAATGACTCTTACAATGTCTTACAATTACATCATTAGAATAGGTGTTATGAAGCATCTAAGATGAGGTGGAAGGACAACACAGAGAAGTACTGCATGTAGAAGATAAAAAAAAAAAATGCAAGAAGAAAGGAGGAGACAGTCACAAACAAGCAAGAAACATTGGATTTTTACTCTATTGGATACTGAAATAAAAACAGTAATTAGTTTTTATGTATCAAAACATAATACTTTACCTGGTATTTTTTGTATAGTTGCAACAACTGATGAAGAAGTTGAGCAATAATATCATCTTCAGAGCAGTTCCAGTTATTCAGTGCTGGTACCTGTAAATATAAATGAATTTTATGATGTACTATTTTAAAAATGGTAAAATAAACCTAAAATCTCATTTATAACTGAGCCTGCAGCTAGGAATTTCACATCACGTCCACACTAAGCCTTTATATTGAGACTGAGGACACCCTTGACGTTGACAGCTGGAAAATACCTAATGATTTGTTCTTCCTTATGATCCTATGCATTGGCTGCCAATTAAAGCAAGAGGTCTGTTGAGCTGTGATGTAATTCTCTCAGAGGATGATCATATTGGATTTCAGGCACAAAACTTTTACACAAGCTTCCTCCAATTCTTCTAGTACAAAGTTTAGGAATCAAGAACCTGATGAGTTAGTTTCAAGAATCAACTGGGTCAAACTCACTGTAGCCAATACTGCAAGAACAAGGACTTTCACTATTCCTTAAACATTTACATCAGGTGGTTAATGGTAAATACCGTGACCTCAGAGTTCTACTGTATGCACACATTAACTGTTAACACATTAGCAGATACTTTGGCCTTTTAAAATTAAACAATGTCCATTATCAGGTGAGAGATATACAGTATATTTGCCACCCACCACAGGTCTTTATAAGGAAGTTCATATAGACAAGCATGATCAAGTAATCTGATTGCAAAATATTACAGGTATACCTCACTATATGTCGGACATATGTTCTCGAAAAGTGCGACGTTAAATGAAACAACGCACAAGTCTAGTGAATACAAATTTACACTAAACATGAAGATATAAATAAAGGATATGTTCCTGGGGACTATTTCTGGTCAAAATTTTCTTACCAAAATATTAATTACAGACCAGAATTTATTTACTCCAAGTTAAAATAAATATTTATATATAAAATATGTCAAAAAAATAATACAGTAGTACCCCGCTTAACGCGGTCAATAGAACCCACAGGGTACCGTGTTAAGTGAAAACCACGCAAAGTGAACAACAGAACATATGGGATTAATTCCAATAGAAACTGGCCCGACCCCCAAACTCCACTTTTTGACGACACACAACTATGTTGTAGTAAAAATTTTATCTTAACTTTATGATGGTATGAACAAACAAGTAATATAGAAGAGGTTAGGTTCGGAAAAATAAAGGTTAAGTTAGGAAAAATAAATGTTAGGTTAGGAAAATTAAAAGTTAGGTGTAACACTTACGTTAGTAGAAGACACACACTGCGCAACCTTACAGAGCGGCTTGCCCAGGCGGAGGGAGGCGGGAGGGAGGAGGAGGAGGGAGAGGCGAGAGCAGGCAGGCAGGCGGGTGGCGGGTGGGGCGAATCTAAAAATAGCGTCTCGAGCCGGACACTCTGCGCGTATACGTGGAAAAACCCACGTTAAGTGAAAGTTCGGCTCTGGCGAGGCACCGCGTATACGTGAAATCGCGCTAAGCGAAACCGCGTTAAGCGGGGTATTACTGTATTTATTTGAGTTGGTTTGGAGAACTGCACATAGAGGACAGCTGGTGTGGGGAGTGGCAAGGTTACTGACACGAAGCTGCAGGATTGTGCTTCTTTTTTAACTCATTATTGTTGTACTGTACTGTGCATACATGTTCTCTATTTATTATTTTAAAATAAATCAAGAAAAATAAATTTTGGTTGTTTAGGTACATTTTCCATCACCCTCCTGGTTGGCTAATCAATACAGTGGTCCCTCGGTTAACGAGCACAATCCGTTCCAGCAGGTTGCTCGTTAACCGAAAAACTCGTTAACCGAAACCAAACCGAAACAAAAAAGGTAGAAAAGTACACGTACTTTGAGGTGTGTATGTAGAAGGCTCCTGGATGATGATGGGAATTAGAATGGGGGTGGAGGAGAAGGGGGAAGAGAAGGCATTGGGGTGGAAGAGAAGTTACCCCATGGCGCCATTTCACCCATAAAATTTTAGTTCTCTTGGTGTAACTCAAGATTATTTTCTTTAAATCAACACTGCACTGCATTATATATTGTCAATATGTAAAATAAATTTCAAAATGACCAATAATTTGCTTGGAAACACAGAAAAAAAGCATTTAGTTTAAGAGAGTCTCAAGCAAGATGTTACCTCCACTGAAAACAGAGAGAGACTAACGCCTGTCTGGTGTGTTAACAGGCTGGATAGCGCGCCAGAAACTAGTTTCTTTACCTTCAATTATGTTCAATAATTGTTAAAATGATAAAAAAGTTAATATTAAACTTTTAAAATTATTGAATAGTATAAACTTCTTGATATTTACTAAAATAGTAAAGAATTTAAGCCCTAAAACCGATTACTGTATTGGCGGACTAATACTACAGCTGGTGGACCGCCAAATGCAAGCGAAAACATGTTGAAGTCGGCTCGTAAAAAACTCGTTAATTGAGGGATTGCTCGTTAACCGAAGTTAAGAATCTTATGGAAGGTAAATCGTTAACCGAAATCTCGTTAACCGAGGCGCTCGTTAACCGAGGGATCACTGTACTGTATAAAAGTAAGTTTCACCCCCTGATTATCCAACATGCAAAAGTTTGGAGGGCATCAGGGAGTTGAAATGTTTTGAGAAGACCTTTCATGAGACTTTACCTTTCCTCTACTAATTTAATTAATTGTCTATGGTAAGTAATAAAATATTCCCAATCTTCACCTGATCCTCAAGATCCTCAGTTGAGATCCTTGATAAAAATTGAATATCGCTGAAGGACATGTCAGGAGGCATCCACGGCTCCCGCAGATAGAAGAGGAGACGGATGGTGAGGGTCGCTCCAGCAAAAGGCACCTTGATCAAAAGCTCATCTCCGGGACCACTTTCACACACAGTCTCCCCCATCACTCCATTGTCCTGTCTGGTGTTCCATACAGTCAAGCTCTCTGAGGCTCCGGTAATTTCTGCAAGGTCACTGCACAATCCTCCTGACAAAGTGAAATTCTCATAAGCATACTTCATTGGATATTATTGACAGGGGTAAAAAATAATAAATGATAGTATAGGTATGGTTACTTCAGTACTTGTGAGTAAAGTAACTTAAAATGCATGTAATGAAATTGAAGACTATACAAATGAGAAAATTGGAATAGCATTAAAATAGGTGGAGGTCTGATATGAATGGTGGGCATAATAGTTTATTTGAAGGTGAAACAGTAATGGAGAAAATGCACAATATCTAGACAAAATTAGTGCATTAAGGAAAAGGATGTAAAATAAACAGAAAGAGAAAAAAGAAGATAAATTGGTCCTCAAACCTCAACTGTTAAAGAGTGTGAGCAGGACATGGCTGAATATATTATACTGTACAACACATCAAGAATAACAACACTAACACTAACTAACTCTCTGGGCTATGGGGTTGACAGAGTACCATATACTCTGTGCCGGTATTATGATGGGCACTTGAGGAACGTAGTCCAGTTTTAGTGATTTCGAAGGTGTATCGCATCAGTGTTATTTAAAAGTACAAATTTATGGCTAAAAATTATTTCACATAATGTACATTGCACTATCCTTGAGTAACACTTCTAACTTTCATCAATTACAGATTTATAACTTAGAGGTAAAATTCCTTCTACCTGATGTAACTGTAGTGTCATACCAAGTAAGCAGGAGGACCTTAATGAGTCAATTAAAAAAAAAGAAGACAAATCACTTATCCTTAGAACTATCAATGCATCAAAATACAGCAGTGTCTTAAGATTTTTAAAGTTTACAATTATGTTATCAACACAGTATATAAGAAAGAATAATATAAAATAAAAACACTGTACCTGGAAATCCATTCAATTTGATATAGCCTATTTGGCGTATATACTGTTCCATTACAGAACCTCTTATTAAGCTGTCCCTGATTTCCATCTGTTTCTTGAATGTCTTGACAATCCTCAAGTAATCGTTTAATCTGAAAAGATCCATGTTAATAAATACAGGGTAATATTCACTTACTTATAGGTAGTAGGTAGTAGGCAGCTACCAAACAGGGAAGTACTACTGCCTGGGAAGATATTGGAAGCATAATATATTGTCTAATGGTAGACCCTGCTACTATATGGCATCACGAAAATTGTGACCAAGTCCCAGGTTACTGATCTGACTTTCTGCCTCCTTTACACACAATTGCAGGATCTCAATTGTTTCTCTTACTTTGACGACACAACATACTGTACATATATTGTTTCTCACTATTGATTTTTTCATTTTTTCATTTCTTTATGGTTCTTTATCATTGTTATTATTATTATTATTATTATTATTATTATTATTATTATTATTATTATTATTATTATTATTATTATTATTATTATTATTATTATTAGTGTTGTTATTATTATTATTGTTATCATTGTTATTTTGTTTTTAATTTTGTATTTTGTATTATAAATTTTATTTACTATAAATTATTGTTTAATTTATATTTTTGTATTTTTATTATAAATTTTATTTAATATGAATAATTAATATTATTACATTTTCGCCTCCCAGGCCCTGATGTGGGTCAGTGACCTGTGCCCGGGTGGGCTAATCCCCGTAAAAAAAAAATAAAAAAAATTATAAATAAATACCCTTCATCAATCTGGTGTGGATCTGAAACATAGAACTTTTCAAGGATGAACACAATTATACTGAACAGTACATATGAGGCGCTAAGCATTACAAAGGGGTAAGGACCCACCTTGGGCAAAATGCATTTTTTGATGGATATCACTATTTTCACCCTTCCTCTGCATGTTGGCATTGGATGTAACCCCCTAAGTAGACTGGAAATATGGTAAAAAATCCTTCAAAAATAGGGTGTCATTTCGCCTCAGGCCAGGAGCTACATATCTAGCTGTGTGCTCAGTAAGTAAAGGTGGTCACATCCCGTTCAGAGTGAGAGGAGCGATTTTTAGAGAGGGCAGAGAAAGACTTTGATTATGACGAGGCCATTAAAGTTATAACGCACTCCTCAGGATTTACGTAACTTCAACTTAAAACGACGGAACTAAACAAAGTAAGATTGTAATATTATTACTTTTTTTACTCAAGATTATGCAAACTTTCTCCGCCTTTGTATTTGCATGTTAATTACGTTGGGGGGGTTGGAAGTTAATGGTGGGAGGATGAGTGTAGTGGTGTTTCCTTATTATTACACACTATTATACTTAGCAATATTATAAATCTTTGGCTAATAATAAGGACGGAAAGATAAATACTCATAGGCAAATGAGTTTTTTTATTATTATTTAATTTTTTTATGGGGGGGAGGTTGTGGTTTATGGGGTTGGGAGGGGGAGACAAGTGTTGTTTTGGGTGATCATTAACTTGTTTTACAGTATTAGCCCACAATAATAAGAAAATTTTGTAGAAAAAACAAGATTATTGTTGGTCTGAAGATCAAACAACCAAACATCACGGGTAGTTATTCTCATTCAACTCGCGATACAATAATAACTATTCACAGCACTAACTTCCAGTTTTCACAGTTTGGGTTAGGTATTATTTAACTTTGAGTCATGGGTACTTCTTGGATACTTGGCAGAATAACTTGTTATAACCTGGTCCTAGCAAGGTGGAGTCTAGGCAAATATGTTCACTTGACCTCATATTTGGCTTTCGTTACTGAGGGATATCTACGGCTATACCTCATTAATAAGGTCTACCTGCAAGTTTACTTAGTCATAAAAAAAAATTGTACCATAAATGTGGACATTAAAAATCTTCTATTTTGGTACAAATTACATGAACAGTCGTAAGAAGACAAAAGCTGCGTCTCTTCCATTCAGTAAGAAATAGAAACACTCTCGAGCTTCTTCTTACCATAAGAAATGAACTAAAAAGACAAACTGTAATATCGTGTTTCAGTATGTTGATGTACAAAACATTTTCTTCATTATTTTATGATAAAACAAGTCTAACAAACATTATTACAACATATACTCTTAATTTTTGTTATGTAATCGGGAAATAACGACTTACTATATCCGGGTTGAGCGTGTTACAGCACCTAAGGAGGTGCTGTAATTTAAGGGCTAGATTACGGCCTCACTTACGGAGTCCGCTGCCAAATATTTGTTTTGAGTATACCGATCAGAGACTGTAAGTCCAGTTATGGGGTAAACAAAGAGATACAGTCCCGTAAATGTTTTAGAGCATGCGTACCCAGGGATACGTAAGAATTGGAAAGAATGATCGTCTTTCTCTTAAAACTCGACAATAAACTTAAAATAATCGTAGCACAAACGACAACCAACCTCCACCGCGGCCATTGTGAAACTGGTCAATGAAATTAAGATCATACCCAGACTGCTTCCTTTGAAAAAAATCAAATGTGATTGGTCGAAAAAAATTTGCGTGACGATATCAATACCTCATTGGTCACGACTGGATAACATCAGTCAACATTGTGTATGCGTGATGCGTAGATAACATCTCCTCACAGAGATGAAGACTGAAAACTATCTTAAAATCAATTAAATTCAATTATCACTATTATCCATTTCCGCCATGTATATATAGGGTTCAAAATGCTCAGAATAGCGGGATCTAAATGTTTTGGTAGTTTATAACTTTCGGGGGCGCTATGTCCGAAAGTAAAATAATACCAAATTACCTGATATCATTGAATTGAGCGCCGTTGTCTGGTGATGAACACAGACAGGTTACTCTGCCTCGGCCTGAGTGACTGGTGATGAACACAGACAGGTTACTCTGCCTCGGCCTGAGTGACTGGTGATGAACACAGACAGGTTACTCTGCCTCGGCCTGAGTGACTGTTGGTGAACACAGACAGGTTACTCTGCCTCGGCCTGAGTGACTGTTGATGAACACAGATAGGTTACTCTGCCTCGGCCTGAGTGACTGTTGGTGAACACAGACAGGTTACTCTGCCTCGGCCTGAGTGACTGGTGATGAACACAGACAGGTTACTCTCACCTCGGCCTGAGTGACTGGTGATGAACACAGACAGGTTACTCTGCGCCTGAGTGACTGTTGACTGAACAGGTTACTCTGCCTCGGCCTGAGTGACTGGTGATGAACACAGACAGGTTACTCTGCCTCGGCCTGAGTGACTGGATGATTACTCTGCCTCGGCCTGAGTGACTGTGATGAACACAGACAGGTTACTCTGCCTCGGCCTGAGTGACTGGTGATGAACACAGACAGGTTACTCTACCTCGCCTGGTGACTGTTGATGAACACAGACAGGTGCCTCGGCCTGGTGACTGGTGATGGGCTGAGACGGTTACTCTGCCTCGGCCTGAGTGACTGGTGATGAACACAGACAGGTTACTCTGCCTCGGCCTGAGTGACTGGTGATGAACACAGACAGGTTACTCTGCCTCGGCCTGAGTGACTGGTGATGAACACAGACAGGTTACTCTGCCTCGGCCTGAGTGACTGGTGATGAACACAGACAGGTTACTCTGCCTCGGCCTGAGTGACTGTTGATGAACACAGATAGGTTACTCTACCTCGGCCTGAGTGACTGGTGATGAGCACAGACAGGTTACTCTGCCTCGGCCTGAGTGATAGTGATATTGAACACAGACCAGGTTACTCTGCCTCGGCCTGAGTGACTGATGATGAACACAGACAGTTTACCTCGGCCTGGTGACTGTTGATGAACACAGACAGGTTACTCTGCCTCGGCTGGTGACTGGTGATGAACCTGAACAGGTTACTCTACCTCGGCCTGGTGATGGTGATGAACACAGACAGGTTACTCTACCTCGGCCTGGTGACTGGTGATGAACACAGACAGGTTACTCTACCTCGGCCTGAGCTGTTGATGAACACAGACAGGTTACTCTGCCTCGGCCTGAGTGACTGGTGATGAACACAGACAGGTTACTCTGCCTCGGCCTGAGTGACTGGTGATGAACACAGACAGGTTACTCTGCCTCGGCCTGAGTGACTGTTGATGAACACAGATAGGTTACTCTACCTCGGCCTGAGTGACTGGTGATGAGCACAGACAGGTTACTCTGCCTCGGCCTGAGTGACTGGCATGAACACAGACAGGTACTGCCTCGGCCTGAGGACTGATGAACACAGACAGGTTTCTACTCGGCCTGATTGTGATGAACACAGACAGGTTACTCTACCTCGGCCTGAGTGACTGGTGATGAACACAGACAGGTTACTCTACCTCGGCCTGAGTGACTGTTGATGAACACAGACAGGTTACTCTGCCTCGGCCTGAGTGACTGGTGATGAACACAGACAGGTTACTCTGCCTCGGCCTGAGTGACTGGTGATGAACACAGACAGGTTACTCTGCCTCGGCCTGAGTGACTGTTGATGAACACAGATAGGTTACTCTACCTCGGCCTGGTGACTGGTGATGAGCACAGACAGGTTACTCTGCCTCGGCCTGAGTGACTGTTGATGAACACAGATAGGTTACTCTACCTCGGCCTGAGTGACTGGTGATGAGCACAGACAGGTTACTCTGCCTCGGCCTGAGTGACTGGTGATGAACACAGACAGGTTACTCTACCTCGGCCTGAGTGACTGGTGATGAACACAGACAGGTTACTCTGCCTGAGTGACTGTTTACTTCCTGTCACAAATTTCCAACTTTATACTGAAGTCATATAAAGACGACAAAAACTTACATCTTGGGATATCTTACATTTTATTATTACCTAAATAGTCCTATAATTTTAAAATATATTTAATTTTATATATGGTTAACCGATTTTATTTGACAAAAATCTTTTCTTTAAACTACAAAGTAGTTTATATGAACCGGAGATAAATTTCAGATCGTTCTTGATGAAGAATCCGAATTTGTTAAAATATTTACGTCGCTCTCTTAGGTTAAACACAGTACAGTTTATACTCAAGGAAGAGAGTATTGAGCCTGTCAGTACAGTATTGTACTCAGGTATTGTTGTATAGCAAAAAGTAATTACTATTGATCTCCGAATATTTCCTAATATCAGGTGCACATGGCTTCAAAATGGTCACAAAATGCCCATAATATTGGTCAGATTACAAAACTTTTTCTGGGGGACTTACATTGGTCCCCCCCCCCCAAATAAAAAATAAATAAATAAATAAATAATATTAAATAAATAAATGGGTGGGCTCGCTGTGCTCGCCATATTCCCGGGCCCACAACTTCTTGGATCCCCTTTTTTCTTTTCTTTTTTCTTTTAACCTTGTAGTGGAATTCTCCCCTACAAACGCTGTTTGTCGCTGAGTAGCTGACCCCACCAATTCCCCAGTGTATGCCTCGTGGTCTGGGTCAACCAGCGCCGCCATACACCACGGAGCGGGGGTCAACTACTAAGCCATGCCAACCCCCGCTATTTAAGACCTGACCTCGTAGTGATCTCTCTCTTTCTACCTACACCAACCAGCCAGCAACACCTCCTCCTCCTGCCTGGCAGCCCTCGCTCCTCCTCCGCCTGCCTGGCGAGCATGGCGACCCACAAGCTGGTCCTTCTCTGAGCGTCCTCACCAACCAGCTCTCTCTACATCACGCTTGTAACCATGCTGCCTTCCCAGCACCAAGCTGCATTGTACATCCAATACAACATGTACAGTATATAGAGAGCACATTGTGAGTTTCCTTTCTCCATTCCCTGAGTGTGAACCAAATATCTCATACCCCACAACCTCTTCACCACTGATCGGCTCGTTAGCCGCTTGGGCGATCGGTCACGTCTCTGTTGGCACGTACTGAACATGCACTGGCTCCTAATCAGGGCCGGATTCAGGAGTGGGCAAAGTGGGCAGCTGTCCAGGGGCCTCCACATGTGCGGTAGTAGCTATATCAGGGCTGGTCGACTTGAAACCACATGAATGACTCCAGTCATGTCTCACTTGTGTGTGTGTGTGTGTGTGTGTTGGGAATTTGTACACTATCAATAAATATACAGTTAATTAAAAATTTCTCAATGTTCTAATTTCCTCAATATAACTGCATATGGCTTCAAAATTCTCCAAAGAAGTGTTCAAATTTCAAAATTTTCCCAGGAGGCTTACAGCGCCCCCCGGAACTCCCAGATGTTTAGGCTCGCTTCACTCGCCACCCCACCCTCTTGGGTAGTTATAATGAGGGGGGCCTCCACAAAGAGGCTGCCCATGGGCCTCCACAGGTCTAAACTCGGCACTGCTCCTGATTGTATCTAAACCCGCTCCAGTTGCCCCTCACAGTTTTCTGGACTTGCGGGCTGCGGCTTCTTCAATCTTGAGCTGTACTCCTTGTGGAACGAGCATCCACCAGCTCCAGGTATAGACATTCGACTGAGCAGTGCCTTTTGAGATGGTTATACACCTCAATTAGGTTGTAGTGGATTTCTCCCCTACAAACGCTGTTTGTCGCTGAGTAGCCGACCCCACGAATTCTCCAGTGTATGCCTCGTGGTCTAGGTCAACCAGCGCCGCCTTACATGACGGAAGTCAACTACTAAGCCATGCCTACCTCCGCTATTTAAGGCCTGACCTCGTGGTGAGCACTCCCTTTCAACCTACACCAACCAGCAAGCAACACCACCTCCTCCGCCGCTGCCTGGCGGCCCTCGCTCCCGCCGGCGACCATGGCGACCCACAAGCTGTCCTCCTCTGAGCACCCTCACCAACCAGCTCTCTCTACATCACGCTTGTAACCACGCTGCCACTTCCCAGCACCAAGCTGCATTGTACATCCAATACAACATGTATACAGAGAGCACATTGTGAGTTTCCTTCCTCCATCCCATCCTGAGCCCGAACCAACATCACCAACCCCACAAGGTCACCCCTTGCCCGTCTGTAGTATAAGCTAGGCAAATGCATGCGCTCTAATCTCTCAAGGTAGCTGAGGTGCCGAAGTGCTGGCACCAGTCTGGTGGCCCTCCTTTGGACATTTTCAATCAACTGAGAGTCCCTAGTATATCTTGGGGACCAGACGGGTGGGGGGGGGGGGGACAGTACTCCAGGCGGGGAAGCACCTCACTCTTGAACATCGTTACGAGGGACGGACCATCTAGAGATCTGAACGACCTTCTTGTAAGACCTAATAATTTAGTTGCCTGATTCACCTTCTCACAATTGCCCGAGAACATCAGTTCATTGTCAACATACTGTACACACGCGTTGTGACATATGATATGCCTCCTTATCGTTGGTACGTTCCAGGTGCTTTTTATTCCTGGATCCGTCCCAGGAGTGTATACAGTATGTATATAAACAGACACTGTCACATATGCACACACAAGAGAGAGCTGTGTCTTATTACTTTTATCCTCTTCACCACTGATCGGCTCGTTAGCCGCTTGGGCGATCAGTCACGTCTCTGTTACGCACTGTTGGCGAGTACTGGGCATGCACCGGCTCCTGAATGTACCTGAACCCGCTCCAGTGTTGGTCAAGTCTGGTCTTGAAAGAGCTCACATTCGGTGCCGTCACAACACTTTCTGGTAGATTGTTCCAAGAGTTCACAACTCTCACTCCGAAAAAGTTTGCCCTCACAGTTCTCTGGACCTGCGGCATCTTCAGTCTTGAGCTGTGACCCCTTGTGGGGCGAGCGTCCGCCAGCTCCAAGTAAGGACGCTCGACTGAGTAGTGCCCCTTGAGATGCGTATACACCTCAATTAGGTCACCACTTGCCCGTCTGTAGTATAAGCTGGCAAGTTCAGGCGCTACAATTTCTCAGGGTACCTGGGGTGAAGAAGGGCAGGCACCAGTCTGGTAGCCCTCCTTTGAACATTTTCAACCAACTGACAGTCCCTAGTACTGTATATCTCGGGGACCAGACGGGGTGACAGTACTCCAGATGGGGAAGCACTTCACTCTTGAAGATCGTTACGAGGGACGGTCTAGATATCTGAACGACCTTCTTATAAGACCCAAATAATTTATTTGTCTGAT